TGTGTTACATGTATGTTACCATAAAACCGTCATGGTATGATATCAAGTCAGCATGTGTTATGTTACCATTAGCCGGCATGGTAGGACATACAGTCAACATGTGTTATGTTACCTGACCATCATGGTAAAATATACAGTCAACGTGTGTTATGTTACCATTAGCCGGCATGGTATGATATACAGTCAACATGTGTTATGTTACCATAAGCCGGTATGGTATGATATACAGTCAACATGTGTTATGTTACCATAAGCCGGCATGGTAAGATATACAGTCAACATGTGTTATGTTACCATAAGCCGCCATGGTAAAATATACAGTCAACATGTGTTATGTTACGAGAAGCCGGCATGGTAAGATAAACAGTCAACATGTGTTATGTTACCATAAGCCGGTATTGTGTGATATACAGTCAACATGTGTTATGTTACCATAAGCCGGTATGGTATGATATACAGTCAACATGTGTTATATGTTACCATAAGCTGGCATTGTAAGATATACAGTCAACATGTGTTATGTTACCATAGGCCGCCATGGTAAAATATACAGTCAACATGTGTTATGTTACCATAAGCTGGCATGGTAAGATATACAGTCAACATGTGTTATGTTACCATAAGCCAGTATGGTATGATATACAGTCAACATGCGTTACGGTATCATAAACCACCATGGTAAGATATACAGTCAACATGTGTTATGTTACCATAAGCCGGCATGGTATGAAATGCAGTCAACATGTGTTATGTTACCATAGGCCGGCATGGTATGATATACAGTCAACATGTGTTATGTTACCATAAAACCGTCATGGTATCATATCAAGTCAGCATGTGTTATGTTACCATTAGCCGGCATGGTAGGATATACAGTCAACATGTGTTATGTTACCATAAACCACCATGGTAAAATATACAGTCAACGTGTGTTATGTTACCATAAGCCGGCATGGTATGATATACAGTCAACATGTGTTATGTTACCATAAGCCGGTATGGTATGATATACAGTCAACATGTGTTATGTTACCATAAGCCGGCATGGTAATATATACAGTCAACATGTGTTATGTTACCATAAGCCGGCATGGTAAGATATACAGTCAACATGTGTTATGTTACCATAAGCCGGTATGGTATGATATACAGTCAACATGCGTTACGGTATCATAAACCACCATGGTAAGATATACAGTCAACATGTGTTATGTTACCATAACCCGGCATGGTATGATATGCAGTCAACATGTGTTATGTTACCATAGGCCGGCATGGTATGATATACAGTCAAAATGTGTGATGTTACCATAAAACCGTGATGGTATCATATCAAGTCAGCATGTGTTATGTTACCATTAGCCGGCATGGTAGGATATATAGTCAACATGTGTTATGTTACCATAAACCACCATGGTAAAATATACAGTCAAGATGTGTTATGTTACCATAAGCCGGCATGGTATGATATACAGTCAACATGTATTATGTTACCATAAGCCGGTATGGTATGATATACAGTCAACATGTGTTATGTAACCATAAGCCGGCATGGTAATATATACAGTCAACATGTGGTATGTTACCATAGGCCGCCATGGTAAAATATACAGTCAATATGTGTTATGTTACCATAAGCCGGCATGGTAAGATATACAGTCAACATGTGTTATGTTACCATAAGCCGGTATGGTATGATATACAGTCAACATGCGTTATGGTATCATAAACCACCATGGTAAGATATACAGTCAACATGTGTTATGTTACCATAACCCGGCATGGTATGATATACAGTCAACATGTGTTATGTTACGATAGGCCGGCATGGTATGATATACAGTCAACATGTGTTATGTTACCATAAAACCGTCATGGTATGATATCAAGTCAGCATGTGTTATGTTACCATTAGCCGGCATGGTAGGACATACAGTCAACATGTGTTATGTTACCATAAACCATCATGGTAAAATATATATACAGTCAACGTGTGTTATGTTACCATAAGCCGGCATGGTATGATAAACACTCAACATGTGTTATGTTACCATAAGCCGGTATGGTATGATATACAGTCAACATGTGTTATGTTACCATAAGCCGGCATGGTAAGATATACAGTCAATATGTGTTATGTTACCATAGGCCGCCATGGTAAAATATACAGTCAACATGTGTTATGTTACGAGAAGCCGGCATGGTAAGATATACAGTCAACATGTGTTATGTTACCATAAGCCGGTATTGTGTGATATACAGTCAACATGTGTTATGTTGCTATAAGCCGGCATGGTAAGATATACAGTCAACATATGTTATGTTACCATAAGCTGGCATTGTAAGATATACAGTCAACATGTGTTATGTTACCATAGGCCGGCATGGTAAAATATACAGTCAACATGTGCTATGTTGCCATAAGCCGGCATGGTAAGATATACAGTCAACATGTGTTATATTACCATAGGCCGCCATGGTAAAATATACAGTCAACATGTGTTATGTTACCATAAGCCGGCATGGTAATATATACAGTCAACATGTGGTATGTTACCATAGGCCGCCATGGTAAAATATACAGTCAACATGTGTTATGTTACCATAAGCCGGCATGGTAAGATATATAGTCAACATGTGTTATGTTACCATAAGCCGGTATGGTATGATATACAGTCAATATGCGTTATGGTATCTTAAACCACCATGGTAAGATATACAGTCGACATGTGTTATGTTACCATAACCCGGCATGGTAGGACATACAGTCAACATGTGTTATGTTACCATAAACCATCATGGTAAAATATACAGTCAACGTGTGTTTTGTTACCATAAGCCGGCATGGTATGATATACAGTCAACATGTGGTATGTTACCATAAGCCGGCATGGTATGATATACAGTCAACATGTGTTATGTTACCATAAGCCGGCATGGTAAGATATACAGTCAACATGTGTTTTGTTACCATAGGCCGCCTTGGTAAAATATACAGTCAACATGTGTTATGTTACGATAAGCCGGCATGGTAAGATATACAGTTAACATGTGTTATGTTACCATAAGCCGGTATTGTGTGATATACAGTCAACATGTGTTATGTTACGATAAGCCGGCATGGTAAGATATACAGTCAACATGTGTTATATTAACATAGGCCGCCATGGTAAAATATACAGTCAACATGTGTTATGTTACCATAAGCCGCCATTGCAAGATATACAGTCAAAATGTGTTATGTTACCATAGGCCGCCATGGTAAAATAAACAGTCACAATGTGTTATGTTACCATAAGCCGCCATGGTAAAATATACAGTCAACATGTGTTATGTTACCATAAGCCGCCATGGTAAGATATACAGTCAACATTTGTAATGTTACCATAAGCCGACATGGTAAGATATACAGTCAACATGTGTTATGTTACCATAAGCCGGCATGGTAAAATATACAGTCAACATGTGTTATGTTACCATAAGCCGCCATTGCAAGATATACAGTCAAAATGTGTTATGTTACCATAGGCCGCCATGGTAAAATAAACAGTCAACATGTGTTATGTAACCATAAGCCGCCATGGTAAGATATACAGTCAACATTTGTTATGTTACCATAGGCCACCATGGTAAAATATACAGTCAACATGTGTTATGTTACCATAAGCCGGCATGGTCTTCGGATTTGATAAGTTTTGTCGAAAACTTAAAGCAAATGGCATTTGATCTTTACTGAGAAAACAATATGGCATATGCTGAAGTTCCTCATCTCTGTGAACTTTGGGGAAAGTCGCGTTGTCTCCCTTACAAAAAACAAGCAAAAGGTGTCAAAATAAACAAAAGCGCGACAACGCCCCATTTCGACCATTTGTCGCATTGTCAGTTGTATTGTCGCATTTTTGTTACTTTTGACACTTGCCTGTTTTTGAGAGAGCGACTACGCGACAATGTCCCTTTTAGGATTCCTTTGATAGGACAATGAGGCAAGAAGTAGGCATCCCCATGTGCACCAATTCTGCTCCCCTCATTGCTGATCTGTTTCTTAATGCGTACGAGTCAAAATTTCTTCTCGGATTGGCATTATCAAAACAAGGAAATTTGGCTAAGAAGTTTAACTTGAGCGTTAGGTATAGTAATGATCTGATATGATTCAATAACAACAAATAGTAACTTCACTTCCACTGATTTATCCACCTGAGCTGGGAATAAACCTCCTCCTCAACATGCATGGCCTTAGTCAATCTTTATATAACATTTATAGTTAAATCATTCTTAAAGATGAACAACTGACTTGCCTTTGCACGTGTTTGTGACAGATGCCAGCGGTGGGACAGGATACGATCACCTGTAAGCATTCATAAACACATGCTCGCAATATAGTCGGAAACGTACAGTTGTCTCTGCTTTTTATGGTTATGGAAAGGGTTTTGTTGTTTTTATTTACGTTTACACATCGTCTGTCCTACACTACACCAACCAGCTAAAGCACATGTGCCAACCCACAAGTGTCCACGAGAGCGAAGAAATATTAATGCCCACTACAATCTGATACTAGTTTGGCTGGGGTAATTTTTGTGAATACTTGGTAATCCGACGTAACACAGTAAGATGTTTAAAGTCTCTACAGAAAACATCCTACGTCAACTTGCCTTGTGGCCACAATATGTATTATGGTTTATTTAACCAACACAAATACAGCTGTCACACTGAGGAGAAACAAACTACCCCCATGACCCTGGATGAGCTGTGTGTGTCGCCAAAGCTGATGTTGTGAATATGTGTTAATTATGTACGCTAATCGAATTCTTGCCTAAAAAAACACTGTAGCAAGGTGTTTTTTTATTTTTTAAACATGAGGCTCATAGTTTTAACAAAAGTAACATCTGGTTTTGTAGCTGTAGCTCAGTAGTAGCCGTGGTTGCGTAAACATATTGACCTGACCATGACATACCTATCTGTAGGAGTCAATATCCAACTGCACGACCTTCACGGCCTTGATATCTGTCTGTGATAACTATGTAGGACGACATAACTAGCAAGCTGTGTGATAGGGATGTCAGCTGTTGGGATGGGGGCGCTACAAATACTACTTCTAACTTACGTACTGCTCGTCAATTTCACCCACAGTGAGTCCAAGAAAAATGTCGTCCTTATATTTGGTGAGTACGTGTTGATGTGTAGATGCAGCTGGTGCAGGCAGGCAGGGGTGGACCTGTGTAGATGCAGCTGGTGCAGGCAGGCAGGGGTGGACCTGTGTAGATGCAGCTGGTGCAGGCAGGCAGGGGTGGACCTGTGTAGATGCAGCTGGTGCAGGCAGGCAGGGGTGGACCTGTGTAGATGCAGCTGGTGCAGGCAGGCAGGGGTGGACCTGGGAGGTAAACGTGATGCGTGTACTCGACACATGGTCACAAACATGCCAGTGCATTATGTTGCATGAATGATTGTTTGTATTTAGGTTTCAATACTTTGCGAGCTACGGGGAACTAGGGGCTTCTCACAGTAATCCTAGAGGTAGGGATTAAACAGTTGCGAGTGGGTCACACAATAACCTACGAGCTTCGAGCTACGAGCAACGCACACACATACGTTACATAAGACTTAATTTTAGTGTATAGCGATTGTTATTAGACAGGTCATAAGAAATACTTCTTAGGGACTCGAAAACACAGTTCGCGGGGATAATATAGTTAATCTGTTGTGGTAAGAAACCGACCTTTCGCTTTTTCCATCCATCATAGCCAACCAATAATCTATTTATGTTGTAAAACTAGAGGCAAAATTATATATTCCAGGAGCTTCTGGAACAAGTATATTTGCATATACGTTCAGAGCTAAACCGTTTTAGCATGACGATGTGTTTCTCAAGTGGAAAAGAGTTCAACGACGATTGAATTCACTGTATGACCTAGGGGCAAGTCATTTATTATAGTCATTTATGTCACAGGGAAACAGGAGAGGGTTACCAAAACAATATGACAGTGTCTAGGGAAGAGTTACAAAAAACACTGCAAATATTTGGAGAGGGTCATGAAGAAATGGACATTTTCTACTAAAATAAAGTGCTTACGCATTTTGTCTGTTCAGGAAGGGTGATGAAAAAATGTAAAATGACATGGGGAGGGTCATCCGAAAATATGACAAGCATTACGGGAGGGTCATTATTTTCAGCACATTAATGTATCATAAACCTCTCACTCACCCACCCCTATAAATGACCGGTCCCCTAGGTGACGATGCCGGCTTCCAGATGGGCGCCTACAACAACACGGCCTGCAAGACGCCAAACTTCGACAAGCTGGCCGCCAGGAGTATCGTCTTCAAACATGGCTACACCTCCGTCAGCAGCTGCTCGCCCAGCAGGTAAGAAGGAGAGGGAGATGAACAACAGGTCGATATACACTATAGTCCGTTTGCTGCAAAATCGCACCGATGAAATGCAATATAGATATAAATCTGAAAACAACAATTCGTCTTAAATGGTATTAAAGTTGTTTATGTGTCTAAACCAACTCGTCACTATAATTCCAGACATTGTCATGAAGTAGAGTAAAATATAGTTCTAGCCTGTTCTCTCTCAGAGTATGACATGAATGCTCAGTCTTGCACCATGTTTACACAAACACATGGTATATCCGAGCATTCTGTCGTCAGATCCGTGCTCCTGACAGGGTTGCCCCAACATCAGAACGGCATGTACGGCCTTCAGCACGAGCCCCACCACTTCAGCTCCTTGGACGCTGTCCAGAGTTTACCGGTCATACTGGACACAGCTGGAATACGCACGGGTAATTAGACAAGAAGTTCACTTGCTACTGTTCTTGTGTATCAATGGGTACGTACATATCAAGGGCGTGTTGTGACTATGTAAATGTATGCCTACATTTAAGGTATCATTGGCAAGAAGCACGTGGCGCCGGACACAGTGTACAAGTTTGACTATGCCCAGACGGAGGAGAATAATGACATGAACCAGGTGGGGAGGAACATCACCTACATGAGGAACTACGTCAGACAGTTCCTCCAGCAGAAGGATGACAGGTGAGATGTTGGTGGTGAGGTTGTTCTGATGATGATGATGATGATTTAACTTGTAGGTGAAATAGTGTTGGTCATGCTGATAAAGAGAATACATTAACACGACTAAGCATCTCTCTCTCTTCATTACTGGCTTTTCTCAAATACGTGATTTCAAAAGACGCGAGGGTGAAATACTATTTATCATCCCAAATATGTATTTCCAACTTTTTTCAGTTTGTAAAGAGTAAGCACAAGTGTCTTCGTGGCCATGAGTGTAAAACGTTATAGCTAACCAGCTTCAGTGGCAATCTCGGCTGTTTCCGTCAAGCCTGACATCACTGGTTATGCCAATGCCCTCTGTTGACAGACTGCTTCAGTGGCAGAGAGAGTAGTGATCTCATTTGATTGTGACGTCTTGGTAACCAATGACGTTACTGTGATCTGCAAATCGTTGTAGTGCATTTCTATTGCAGCGACATCTCCAAGGAAATATTGATTGGTCTCACCCAAGCGATATAGCCTGTGGAACCACAGTTTGGATGATAATATTTGTTTTGCCATCCTCGTCACGCTTCTAGTTATATACACTCTTCAAAAAAAGAAACGCATAGTTTAAAAAAAGGATGTTTATTAAGCGGATGTAAAAGTATCTACACATGATATGCGTGAACACAATCAAATGAAATTAAACACAGTGATCGACAAAAGCATTGTCATTGTTAGCATAACGTCAGTTCAGTCATTGCACATGTGTAGCCACAAGGGGGCGTCATGGTCAGTACCTGGTCACACCACATCTTGCAGCCGTCACTGCTCGACACCTCTTTGGCACAGATTGCACAAGTCGTCGGATTTTTTCGTGGGGACTTCTTTGCCATTTCTCCTGTAAGGCGTTGGCTAGTTGTGCCAGTGTGTGGGGGCGCTGGTAACGTTGACGGACGCGTCGATCAAGTTCGTCCCACAAAAGTTCATTCGGGTTGAGATCAGGCGATTTAGACGGCCATGGAAGGACATTGATGTTCTCATTAACAAGGAAATAAACTGTTGCACGTGCTGTGTGGGGCCGAGCGTTGTCATGTTGGAACAGCTCCCTCTGGCGGTCCAAAGTTGGGAGGAGGTGAGGACGCAGAATTTGGTCTATGTATCGGTTTGTTGTTTTTCGATCTCCGTTCACGTCAGACAATTCGTAATGAACTTATGAATTTTGTACGGTTTTTTATAGTCAGTGTCTCTACTCTTGTTTCCAACACTTTGCACGTGCATTGTGCTGAAAACGTGTTCTGAAAGCAATTTCCGTGCATCCTTTGCAATTTTGCGATTCCGAAGGTGATGCAACCGGATGTACCGATCCTGAGCAGGAGTGGTCACTCTTGGTCTTCCTCTTCTGGGATGATCTTGAGTCGAATTAGTGCGGGTATATCGATCCCCTAGTCGAGATATGGTGCTTTGGTGAGTGTCGAAGTGTCTTGCAACGGCAGACTGGGACTCCCCTGCTTCCAAACGTCCAATGGCGATATTTCGGTCAGCTGCAGTTAATCTTCGCATTTTTCGATCTCCGTTATGAATTTTGTACGGTCTTTTATAGTCAGTGTCTCTTCTCTTGTTTCCAACATTTTGCACGTGCATTGTGCTGAAAACGTGTTCTGAAAGCAATTTCCGTGCATCCTTTGCAATTTTGCTAATAAACGTTTACAAAAAAACATTCTGAGATGTGTATGCGCACAATGCACAACAAACATGACATGATTAACGTAAATCAAACATAGGAATTGTCTTTATGACGATTGCTGGGAAAAAAATCTAATTGGAATGCTCAAAACACCTATGCGTTTCTTTTTTTGAAGAGTGTAGATATTAAAGTGTTTGTGTTTTCTGAAAAAGGCCATTTTTCCTGTATCTGGCTTTTCACGACCCTCACCGATGTAACAACATTCCCCTGTACGGGCAGTTCTGTGAGAAATTCGGGAACAGGCAGCCTGGCATGGGGGTCATCCCTGACTGGACACCGTCTTACTACAAGCCGGAAGATGTGGAGGTTCCTTACTTTCTGCCGGACACGCTCACCACCAGGCAGGACCTGGCGAATATGTACACTACGTACAGCAGGATGGACCAAGGTATACATAGATAGATGTACAGTTACTGCTACTGTACTCCACGTACAGTGTAAGGTATATATAGATAGATGTACAGTTACTGCTACTGTACTCCACGTACAGTGTAAGGTATACATAGATAGATGTACAGTTACTGCTACTGTACTCCACGTACAGTGTAAGGTATACATAGATAGATGTACAGTTACTGCTACTGTACTCCACGTACAGTGTAAGGTATACATAGATAGATGTACAGTTACTGCTACTGTACTCCACGTACAGTGTAAGGTATACATAGATAGATGTACAGTTACTGCTACTGTACTCCACGTACAGTGTAAGGTATATATAGATAGATGTACAGTTACTGCTACTGTACTCCACGTACAGTGTAAGGTATATATAGATAGATGTACAGTTACTGCTACTGTACTCCACGTACAGTGTAAGGTATATATAGATAGATGTACAGTTACTGCTACTGTACTCCACGTACAGTGTAAGGTATATATAGATAGATGTACAGTTACTGCTACTGTACTCCACGTACAGTGTAAGGTATACATAGATAGATGTACAGTTACTGCTACTGTACTCCACGTACAGTGTAAGGTATATATAGATAGATGTACAGTTACTGCTACTGTACTCCACGTACAGTGTAAGGTATATATAGATAGATGTACAGTTACTGCTACTGTACTCCACGTACAGTGTAAGGTATATATAGATAGATGGCCTGTAATAGTTTATGTACACACCATACAGGACGGACCACGATATATATATACTGAACCGCAAAAGAAACGTCACCATGGATATGTATTATATATATATGAGAAACCTTAGCTGTACAAACACTGTAAACATACTTTGAGACATATTAAAAAGATGAAACTTGTCAAAACTGATCATCAAGGTTGAAATTAAAGTGTCAAATGTTCTTAAAGTTAAACACAACACTAGTCTCTGAGAAAATTGCATCACAAGTCAGTATCTCGTGTGTCCGCCATGTGCATTGATGACTGCCGTGCAACGTCGATACTGAGGGCAGGCCACTGCATGGTTCTGATGCCATTCTGCTGGAGGAAGTCTCTTGCTGCTCTCGCAGTGTGGGCACAGGCGTTATCATGCTGAAACTCGTGGTTGCGGCGACGTGCCAAATGAGGTATGGCGTGTGGTCTCAATGTACCGAGCTGCTGTTACACCATTGCCTCTCCCTGGACCGATGTTCTGGTAGACCACAGGGCCGATTCTCTATGCAAAACCAAGTCCACCCCACATCATGATGCTCGGACCACCCAACTGGTCTCTCTCAACAACACAAGCATCCGAATAATGTTCCCCACGACGTCGCCAGACTCTCTCTCTCTGCCATCTGCTGTTGAGATAAGGTAACGACTCTTGTCTGAGAGGAGGACTCTTCTCTTCTGCTGGTGGCGCCAATGCTGGTGCTGTGTTGCCCACTGAAGACGGTCCAGGCGATGACGTGGTGTCAGAATGACAGTGGAGGTTTGCTCGTCAATCTGTCTAGCAGTTTCCGTAACAGTAACAAAGCATCTTGAAGATGCTGTCCCACAATCGGGTGGTGACCCTTGGTCTTCCACTGCGTGGCCGGTCATCTGTAGTGTTGGTGGTCTAGTATCGTTACTGGAGCCTGTATACGGTCCTTACGTGGTCTTGAAATGCATTGGCTACTTGCTGAGCGGTTTGTCCAGCTTTCAATCGTCCAGAGGCTTGGCGTCACTGATTTCTTCTCTGTGGTAGCAATTCAATAACGAATGAATGTTATCCGAACTGGGTGGATTTTATAGGGCAAGAAATGGGGGAACGCATGTGCATTTCAATTTACACGGAACTCACGTTCATCGGGTTACCATGGCCGTAGCCATGATGCGTTTGGGCGATCGGTTTTATTGTCATCTGCTTTGTTTTTTTAATCATCAAATTTCATTTTTCCGGACAAGGTAATGTTAAATTTTAGAAACTTTGACAAAAATTACCCAGATATTTAAATGACAACTTTTCATACAATGTTACTTACTACGTTTCTTTTGCGGTGCAGTATATATGTATATATATTAAAAAGATGGAATGTAATAGTTTATGTACACCACGTATAGGACGGACCAGGATATATATAGATAGATGGACTGTAAAAATTTATGTACACCACGAAAAGGACGGACCACATTTTATATAGATAGATGGACCGTAATAGATTATGTACACTACGTATAGGACGGACCACAATTTATATAGATAGATGGACCGTAATAGTTTATGTACACTACGTGTAGGACGGACCACAATATATATAGATAGATGGACTGTAATACTAGTAGTTTATGTACAATACCTATAGGAAGGACCACAATTTATATAGATAGATGGACTGTAATAGTTTATGTACAATACGTATAGGAAGGACCACAATTTATATAGATAGATGGACTGTAATAGTTTATGTACACTACGTGTAGGACGGACCACAATATATATAGATAGATGGACTGTAATACTAGTAGTTTATGTACAATACCTATAGGAAGGACCACAATTTATATAGATAGATCGACTGTAATAGTTTATGTACAATACGTATAGGAAGGACCACAATTTATATAGATAGATGGACTGTAATAGTTTATGTACACTACGTGTAGGACGGACCACAATATATATAGATAGATGGACTGTAATAGTTTATGTACACTACGCATAGGACGGACCACAATTTATATAGATAGATCGACTGTAATAGTTTATGTACAATACCTATAGGAAGGACCACAATTTATATAGATAGATGGACTGTAATAGTTTATGTACAATACCTATAGGACGGACCACAATTTATATAGATAGATGGACAGTAATGGTTTATGTACAATACCTATAGGACGGACCACAATTTATATAGCTAGATGGACTGTAATACTAGTAGTTTATGTACAATACCTATAGGACGGACCACAATTTATATAGATAGATGGACAGTAATGGTTTATGTACGCCACGTACAGCAGGATAAACCAACGTATATATACATAGATGTAGTTGTACAGCTGGATGGACCCAGGTATAATCATAGACAGACAGACAGACAGACAGACAGACAGACAGACGGACGGACGGACGGACGGACGGACGGACGGACGAACGGACAGACGGACAGATAGATAGTAACAGTTTATGTACCCCACGAACAAGAGGATTGACCACGGCATCTACAGGAGGAGGTAGAGTAATAATGTACGTGCACCATGTACGCGCGGATAGACCAAGGTGTATACAGATACCTGTACAGTAATAGTTTATGTACACTGCGTACAGCAGGATAGACCAATGTATACAGATAGAAGACAGGGAATAATGATAATATCTAAAATGTCCAGGGATAACATAATCACTGAAATATTCCCTGTACTCATATTATAAGATTAGTAAAACCCTTTAACATACTCCAGGTAATACAATACATTCGTTTTATATCAGGTATTGGGTTGTTTTTGGGCGAGTTGGAAGCCGCAGGTCACATGAACGACACTCTCATCCTCTACACGGCAGACAACGGTATTCCCTTCCCTGGCGCCAAGACCAACCTGTATGACCCGGGGCAGGGGGAGCCTATGATGATCTCATCGCCTCTACACAAGGAGTCTTGGGGCACAGTAAGCTTGATGATCACACCTGGGGATTGGGTGGGGTGGTCTGCGATGCTTTCCCCGACTCTACACAGGGAGGAGTCTTGGGGCACAGTAAGCTTGATGATCACACCTGGTGATTGGGTTGGAAGGTCTGCGATGCTTTCCCCGACTCTACACAGGGAGGAGTCTTGGGGCACAGTAAGCTTGATGATCACACCTGGTGATTGGGTGGGGTGGTCTGCGATGCTTTCTTCGACTCTTCACAGGGAGGAGTTTTGGGGCACAGCAAGCTTGATGATCACACCTGGTGATTGGGTGGGGTGGTCTGCAATGCTTTCCTCGACTCTACACAGGGAGGAGTCTTGGGGCACAGTTAGCTTGATGATCACACCTGGGGATTGGGTTGGGTGGTCTGCGATGCTTTCCCCGACTCTACACAGGGAGGAGTCTTGGGGCACAGAAAGCTTGATGATCACACCTGGTGATTGGGTGGGGTGGTCTGCGATGCTTTCCTCGACTCTACACAGGGAGGAGTCTTGGGGCACAGTAAGCTTGATGATCACACCTGGGGAATTGGGTGGGGTGGTCTGCGATGCTTTCCCCGACTCTACACATGGAGGAGTCTAAGGGCACAGTAAGCTTGATGATCACACCTGGTGATTGGGTTGGGTGGTCTGCGATGCTTTCCTCGACTCTACACAGGGAGGAGTCTTGGGGCACAGTAAGCTTGATGATCACACCTGGGGATTGGGTGGGGTGGTCTGCGATGCTTTCCTCGACTCTACACATGGAGGAGTCTTGGGGCACAGTAAGCTTGATGATCACACCTGCGGATTGGGTGGGGTGGTCTGCGATGCGTCCCTCGACTCTACACAGGGAGGAGTCTTGGGGCACAGTAAGCTTGAAAATCAAACCTGGGTCAAGAATAGAATCCTCAAGCAGAATGCACAATATGGAAAGGTGTCCACTATATAATTCTGTGATTTATATGAATGTTTGCTTGAAGGTATCTGACGCCCTCGGTAGCACTATGGACTTTACGCCAACGATACTCGACTGGTTTGGCGTGAACTACCCTCAGTACAACATGCTGGGCAGGAAGGTGCAGCTGACCGGCAAGTCCCTCCTCCCAGTGACTGTCAACCCCGACACCACGGCGGAAGACTTCACCTACGTCTTCTCTAGTCATGACCTGCACGAAGTCACCATGTACTACCCCATGAGAGTTCTCCGGACCACGACGTGGAAGCTCATCCACAATTTAAACTTTGAAGCTCCGTATCCGATCGCCGTCGATTGCTACCAGTCGCCTTCCTACCTTGAGATCATCAACAAGACCATGGCTGGACAGAAGACAGGTTGGTTCAGAGATCTAGAGCACTACTACTACAGAGACCAATGGGAACTGTTCCACCTTGACAGTGACCCTATGGAACTGATCAACTTGGCGTACACATCTGAGTACAGGGATGTGTTCACCAACATGCAGAATACGTTACTCAACTGGCAGAACGTCACAAATGATCCCTGGATCTGTTCCCCGACAGGTGTGTTGGAGAAGGGGAAGTGTATGACGTTGTTTAATGGCGCCAAACAGTTCGGGAGGGAGAGGAGGTCCAGTGAGTTTCTTGGAGCAGGAAGTTTGTAGCATGTCACGAAAGCTGTACTGTCATCTTGAAAATTATGAACGTTATGACATTATCAACTTAATAGGATATATTTCAATAAAAATAGATGTGGACATGACATGGATTGCTCAGTTTTACATAAATGAAGATATATAACCTTCGTGACGGAAATGCAACCTCATCTGAAATGAATGAATAATGTGGAGACCGCTTCAGACAGTCGGCGAGGTCGGACATGTTGTTAGTCAATCAATCAATCAATCTTTATTGTATGAAAGGCCATTGGCCCATATACACATACAGATAAACAATATCATTGACAGCTGTACAGTGCATTATATAATTATTGGATAACTAATATGATGCTTGACATGTAATAGAGGTATTGTAATAATAGTGGCAATAACCACAGTGGCAGCAGTAGTAGTATAAAATACAAAAGGAATACAAAAGGAATACAAAAGGAATGGAATGGAAATATGAAATTTTACGTCGCAAAGGCAAAGTCCTAGCGCGACGTTCAATACAAAAGGATCTATCAGTAATATACTCATCATGTCAAGACAATTTGACAATTTAAATGTATATGCATTTCTAGTAGAAACAAACAGACAAAAATGAAATGTAGATACTCCTGATCTAGATGCGAAAGTTTCAAAACAACTAATTGTCAGTCACTCTCGCCTGTTAGAATTTGTCAAAAAACAAAAAACGGAAACCTCAAGACATGACTCAAAGTGAAACGAGACTGCCTCCGTGGTCTAGTGGTAGAGCGTCCGCCCGGAGAGCGGAAGGTCCGGAGTTCGCGTCATACCAAAAGACGTTAAAAGATGGTAAGCAAATGAGTTATGTATATAACGTTGGTATAAAGGAAATTGTTGAGCAGCTGAGAAATCAAAAGGTAATACAACGTCTATTTTGTTGACATTTGACATGCCTCATCTTCCTGAACGCGTCAAAATGTATTTTTAATCATTCCGTGTTCGTCCGTTGTTCCACCAGCTGTGAATGTCATCATTTTGCATAAGCTGCAGTATGTGCAAGGTGCAATGAGGACCATAAAGTTGACTATTGTAAGGCCGATGGTGTCTCAAATGTCGTAACTGTGGGGGTAATCACAATGCTGCTCACCGACAATGTGAGAACTATAAGGAGGCAGTATCTATATGTGAGAGATGAGTTGAAAAAAGGTATCTATGCCGAAGCCACTCGCATTGTTCAGGTCACTCACTCCGCTTCTTAAGCACCTACTTTAACAGGCAACAGTGTTGTCACTCCTCCACCTGCTAATGCTCCGTTTGAGATACAGTCTACACGTTCACCCAGATCACCTACGGTTCCATCTGCTGTTCCGTCTGCTGGTCCACCCGTTGTTCCTGGTTGTTCTTGTACCTGTCAAGTCCCAGTCAACTCCCCTAGTTGCAAAAGCTGCTGGTTCACTAGTCCAGACTCCTATCCTAGGCACTTCCCCTCAAATATGCATGACCTTTTTGTTCGAGTTCATTGCTGGTTGCTTCAGAGCAACTAGTAAACAAGATCAAATTGATCGAATTGTGTCAGCTGCTAAAACTCATCGCCTGATTGATGTCTTAAAGGAGATAATTGAACAGTTTACATGTTAAAAAGAAGTAATGGCTAAAACTCTTTTTTTCCTTCCCACTTTGCTCAGAGTCTCGGAGCTCATGTCGAAAATCTTAAACAATTTATTTCAAATAATGTAAGGTGTCTAGGAGATATTCCAGTGGCCAAAGAGTAATTTTGATAACAAGGAATACGCCAAATGAGCAATCCAAATCTTGCAAATACTCACAGAGGAGGCTGTGCATTATTTGTAAAATCTGACTTCTCATTCAAAGAGCAAAACCGTTGTTTTTACTTTGAGGAAACTAAATCAATAACAGTGATTAATGTGTTACAACACCGGAAAGATGGGGGTTTTCTCATTTGGACCTTTCGATGACATCCTCCTCATTACCATCTTAATGTAACTTGGATATGTTCGAAGACGATGCGTTCGGTAGTGATCACTTTCCAGTATTCACTGAAATTCAAATCAGTCCACTTAGATCTTCTTGTGTACATTTTCCACGATGGAAATTTTAAAATGCAAACTGGTCCGGTTTGTCTTCACTTTGCGAGTAAAATATTACTTCTGAACTAATAAACGAAGATGTTCGTTTTTACCTGACATTTCTGATGGACTGTAGCTCTGATTTAAACACCCCTTACTCATACGATGAACTTAAAGATGCCTCATCACCCCTTTCTCATACGATGAACTTAAAGGTGCCATATCAAAAACAAACAATTTGTGTCATGAGATGTTTAAGCACATGCCTGATTCTGCTCTATTAATTATCCGAGATCTTCTCAATATTAGTTGGAGTTGGGGGACTATTTCTTAAGCCTGGACACACGCTGCTGTCCCAGTACCTAAACATGGGAAGGATCCAGCAATGCCTGTTTCATAAAGACGAATTTCCTTAACGTTCGGTTTATGCAAAATCAAGGAAAGATTAGTCACAAAGAGATTTAATTTTCTTCAGAAGTATAGGCTTCTGTCAAGAATACACTCAGGCTTTAGAAAGAGACGTTCATGTACGGCTCCATACAGAAGCATAAACATCTCTATGCAATCAAGAGTGCATGTTGTGCCTCTTCCTTGATGGTATGGTATGATCTGGAGACAAGGACTTCTTTTCAAATTACAATAGCTGGGGATTAAAGGCAACATATTCAGATGGATTCACTCGTTTCTTTCTGAAAGATCTAGTCAAGTTCACGTTGGACAGGACGTTTCTGCTATGTATTTTATTGAAAATGGTACCCCACAAGGTAGTGTTATAAGGCCTGTACGTTTCAATATTATGATAAATGGCTTTTTCACAGCCTTTCCATCAAATATAGATGCAGGACATTTTGCTGACGATAGATCATTTTTGAGACTCTGTGGAAATTTCATTTCAGAAATGCTTAGACATCATTACTGTGTGGTGTTCTACGTGGGGTTTAGGGTTTCTCAAATTCAAAACTGTTGCAATGATGATGACGAGACGTAAAATTCCTCCAAATATACAGCTAAGTCTTGGTGACCACAAAAGAGAAATTGTTCGTGAGTTTAAATTCCATGATGTTTATTTGGACCAGATACTATCACGGGGTTCGCTCATATTGCAATTCGGATTTCTGCATCTCAAGTGTGTTCAGGCTGAATGACCATCTCTCAGTATCAGCTGCTGAACTTATAGCAGTATCTCCCAGCTCTGAGGTGGGTTAATGAAAATGATCATGAGAAGGTTCTATGACTCCAAGGCGCCTGCTAAAGCAATTGAATCTGGTATCAATGTTTCGCACAGTGACAGTGTTTATGAAATGTTAAAGTTGGATACATAGAGGTTATTGCGCGAGTGTGTTTGGGGATGGTAAATATCCTGCATTAGGAATAAACATTGTATTTAGCGAGCCTTTGCGAGCTAAATACATAGTGTTTATTCCTAATACAGGATATTTACCATCCCCAAACACACAAGCGTGATAACCTCTTTATCATATAATGCCATTCTTTAATTCTGTGCTTCAAAATCGCTTTCCCTCTCTCACAAACATTTCCGAAACATTGCGAGTTTTCCTGGAATGCGCGCATTAATATTTAGTCCGTCACAGGTTAAGTGATGTGTCAGTCGGACAGTGACAGTAGCCAATATAGTTCAAACTAAAAGCTGTTTCTTATACAGTGGCGAAGCAACTTATACGCAAAACAACAGTTGTTTTTAATTGCCTTTCGCGGCAATCCATCGGTCTGTCCGCTAGAGTAACTGCCCTTTGTCAAAGGGAAGCTACTCTAACCCTAGTCTATGAGACGTCACGGCCACGGTCAGACGTTGTTGACAGTCGGTCTGTTCTGTCATTACGTTAAGAAGTGTAGTCAGATGTACACACAGCGACAAAACGAAACAAGGTAACAATTCAAACATATTTCGGCCCAATCCAACTATTTTAATATGTGGAGAAGGTTTTAAGCCGCAGAGGTCTACAGGCAAAGATATGGCTACTGATCCTGCTTGGCTAGGCCTCGTGCCCTCGCAAAATTGTTTCAAAATTTATATCTCCAAAGTTGCCAAAACTTATAAAATGCCTTAGCTACGTCACAGTTAGACAGTATATTAGACTGTTCTTTTGATAATGATAGCAATTATCCCTGTAGTTTATCCAGATTCCCGATGGTTAATTCTGACTCGATCGCCGAATGACGAGGGCGACGCCATGTTTGTTTATAAACAGTGAAAGTAGTCCTACTTGACCTTTGATATTTGCATCTCTATCCGCATATGACCCCAACGGATATCGTTTTTATCCGTTGGCTTTATCCTGCCGAGAAACCTACCCATTATATGATAAAGTGTTATACTCAAAGTATGTTACGTGTGATATTAGACCCGTGAAGATCTGGGGAGGAGTAGGCCTTCAGCAACCCATGCGTGCCGTAAAAGGCGAGTGCAGCATTAAACAACAAACAAACAGACGTGTGGCATTGTGTGGATTCCAGCTCATGTTGGTATACACGAAAATGAGACAGCAGACCAACTTGCGAAATCTGGCTTGCAAAATCGTGAGGTAACGATATCAGAATTCAGACCCTAACCAAAAGATTTCGACTTTCTTAAACAAAATTATTCGCAAGTTAGCAACAGTTGTGGGGTGCAGGGACAACTGGCCGACTATATGTCATTCTGTAAAACAAATAGGACAATTCGTCAACGAAAGAAACGTGAGGAAGACATAATTACAAGACTTCGCCCTGGACACTGTTGGTTAAATGCTCATTGATGACGAGGTCTCCCCTGTATGTAAACACTGTGACGAAATACTCCCGAGACAGTGAAGCCTTACTCAATTGAATGCCCAGGCCACAATCATACCAGTATATATTTTAGAAGTGCTGTACTTGAGAGAGACGACTTCTCTTATTACACTTTTGGGTCCCAACACATTTATAGTGCAACTCAGCGGGCAATATTAGACTTCGTGACTGCATCAGGAATATTTGATACATTGTAGAAATTAAATGTATACATACATTGTGTATTGACTTTTAAAACATTTTATCCGTTTTCTTTT